ATGGTGTCTCGAGATTATAACTAGAAAAACCTGAAAAAATATCATCATGAATGAAGAATAAAAAAATACATACATGTAACCATGTTGCCCTGACATTTTTTGTTCATACAACGTCTATTTAATTGTTCAGACACTCTGATAGGGATTGAGAAATGCAGGGTGAACACACAGCTTGCCTTCTACCAAAATGTAATGTCTAAAGTTACAAAGTTACCGTTAGATAGGAAGAATAGGTTCTGGTGATTCAGGGTAATAATAGCTAATAATACCACATTGTGCATTTCAAGATAGTCAGAAAAGAGGTTCTTGAATGTTATAACCATGAAGAAATGATAAATGTTTAAGTGCTAGAAATGCTAACTATTCTGATTAAATCATTACACAATATATGCATGTATTGAAACAACAAACTGTACCCCCTTCAGCATGTACACTGAAAGAAAAAAAAAAAAGAATGTAATGTCTAGTGGAGGGCACAACCGATCAAAAGCAATGACACAGAGAATGAAAAATTGTGATAAGGCTATTAAGGAAAAAGCTTTGAGAATGTAAGACAGGAGGCCAAAGAGACTTTTCTGAGGATGCGACATCTTATCTGAAATTTTCACCATAGGAAGTTTGCAAAGGGCCTGAGACAGAGGGAAACTGCTCATTCACGAATTAAAAGGTCCACGTGGTTGGAGTGTAAGAAGAAATAAAACAGAGTAAAATTAAGGTAACAGATGAAACAGCTAAATTAGTCATGGAATCCTCTGGAGGAAGAAAGAAGAAAAAAATAAAAGAAGAAACTTGAAGTTTACCTTCTACGTAAATCTTAGGAAAAAACTAATTCACACATGATTGCATGAACGTGAAAAGAAGTCAAGGAAAAGAGGAAATACTAGTAAAAAAATGATACAAAGAAAGGGTAAGGGAGGTGTAGAAGAATACAAAACAAGGAAATAGAGTCAGGCATTGATGGCAATTATGAAGAAAAATGACACTTACCAACATAAGTTCCAGTCATCTTACAAATCATAGAACCCATGTCTCCATTCGGATGATCTAGTCTTAGACCATACCTAATAAAATGTGTATGTTAATATCAAAGTTTATACTGACACTAAATTTTTTAAGTATTATGTTTCCCTTAAAAACCCCTCATTAATGTTTCAGGACAGAAACTCTCACTACAGCCAAACTTTCTGTGAAATGAGAATATTTTCCAGGCTTCATTGAAGGTATTTGAATGAAATTTCATTTAACAATGAAATAGCTTGTAATCTATTTTACCATCCCCATTAATATTCCTTTTAAAGAGTTTAAAATACTACCAAATGAGACAATTATTTGATAAAGATATTTCTCAAAACATCTTCTCTTATAGTAATCTAAACAGTAGTTCATATCATACTATATTGGAGGTAGAAGAGAATGTAAGGCAGTACCTAAATGTACAAGATGATTGTTAATTTGCTACATTAAAGATTATAATTTATATTGTATTTTAAATATTTACTTTTGCAGTCCTGCTAGCAATTACTATTTAAACTTAGCACATTTATATCTACTATTTATTTTATAAGGAAAATTATTTGAATTACTTACAAATTATCAGATTGTGGTATGAGAAGCTCACAGGGCATTCCTCCAACATAAACTCTGCATAAATATTTTTATTAGAAAAGATCAAGTTATAATTCAATGCAATCCCCATCAAAATTCCAATGACATTTTTCTCACTAATGGAAAGAACTATACAGACATTTGTATGGAATAACAAAATACCACGCATAGCCAAAGCAACACTGAGCAAAAAAAATAAAGCTGG